TCATTTATCATTCGCTCCACCATTCTATTGTTCTATCTTTCTAGCTGTCATTCTATCTATCTATTGTTATATCTATAGAGATTCAGACCCCAGACTTTTGAAAATTTGTGTATATCTTTTATCATGACTCCATTTTGAAATATCATCCAAATTTTACACTCAAAATCACAGAGTTTCACTGCATCCTGTTCATTTTTAAGTCGCATTAAATACATAAATTACATAGAGGCCACTCATTTGCTGAGAATGTTCAGGGATGCTCTAAAATCTATGCTGGGAATGTTCCAAATGTTGCAGCAAATATTCACAGAGCCCTCTGAAAACAACAATATCATTAACACTCAGCAATAGTACATACACACATTTACTTAAAATGACTCTGATCTGCAGATTGTTTTCTTTTTTATTTTCTCATATTTGGAGCATATGCAGAATAGTGAGGACCAGTGTTCAACAAAAGGTTGCATATTGGTTTGATTAAGTTCATGTGTTTGAGATATAAATTGAATTTTAAATGTTACAACACAGGCATTTCTCAAGGCACTGAGACTGGTACATGTCTGGACTGCATTTGTTCTCCTATAGCTATTGCACTAATTAAATTACTTATTGGGAATTTTCTAAATACAATCTAAAAGGAGGATCAACTGGGTTGAATGCTGAGTTAGCATGTGCTAATCTATATGTTTACTTTAGTGGTAACTGCAACTGAGATTCACCTATAGCCTGCTACAGAGGTTACAGTAATGCGAAGTTAAATATAGAGTCGGTTTACTCTGCTGGAGTACCAAATCAGGCCATTAGCAGAAACGGGGTTGAAAGGAAGTGGACCCGTGTGCAGAAGCGTAAAAGGGGAAGAAAATTTTTATGATTTTATAGTATTAAGAATATAATTTGTATTTAATCATGTCTTGAATCATTTAAGCCTACAAAAGACAATCTCATGAGAATGTCATGAGGATTACAAGTATTCTGTCAGGCTAGAATGCTCAATTCTATTAACAAAATTAATTAAGCATGAAGAAATTTTATGACTCTAATTGTTTGTGTTGCATGTGTGTGTAACTATAGAATATTAGGATTATTGACATTTAATTGATATTCATTTCATCCCATCAGTTTAACTTTGAAAAGAGACATGACAATGACTAATTGCTATTCATAAGTGTTATCAGTGAGATACTATTATAGTTTTTAAGTTAAGTTTTAGTTTGTTTGTTTTTTTTATTTTATCTCAGTTAACGTTTAATGTATTTAATTTTTTCTGGTTTTAGTTTTAGTTAATAACCCTGCAGTAAAGACATATTTTCATGTAAAATCAAGGTATAGACTCACAGTCAATCCAATAGAAGGTGTTAGTTTAGCACTGCCATGGAAATGGAAGCACACACAGGTCAAACGCTTTGTGCTTTATACACACCATAGATTAGCATAGATTAGACATCATAAAAAGCTAATTTGCCTACATACGCAGTAGTAATTTGAGAATACCAGACTCTGTCTACAAACTAAGGACACAATCCACAACTGAGTCTCTGCAACCCCAGTGTTTAGCTGTGAGACTATAAGAACAAAGCTTTGTGTTTTTAAAATATGAATGCTGGCAGGCAAGATAGAAACCAACATGAATGCTGCTGGGGGTTTTCTTACTTATCTTTGCCATTTAGCAGATGCTTTTAATCCAAAGCTTCTTACAGTGCACTAATTGCAGGGACAGTCCCCTCGCTGGAATAACATAGAGCAAAGTGTTTGGCTCAAGGGCACAAAGAGCCAGCTCTCTTCTCTTGCCATCAACTCTCTAACCTCTGTCTTCGTGTTCCTGGTCCATATCATTATGCTACCACCTCCCTAAATACTGTCTAATTGTGTCGTCATTTAAAGTAGAAAGGATTTGAATTCATGCATACATAAACAATGGACTGCCATTCAGTTTCTACATTGCAATTAGTGCAATTTATAGCAAATTCCACATTTAAATGCAATTTAAATTTTGTGTTGAACGGGCGTTATGTTAATAAATAGCTGCCAGGGATGAGAAATTGTTTTGGCTGTATAGCGGTGGTGAGGTTTTGTTCAGTTTTTACCACACTAGAGTGCTCTGCGAGCCCAAATAGAGCAGCTGCCATACCATACTGAGCTATAGCTGCTGACCATGCTCATAAATATGGTCATTGTTGAATCTTTTCAGCAGTCCAAAGTTGCTATTTGCTAGTAACTCAGCATTATCATGCTGCCCAACAACAAGCTTTTCCAGAGACACTGTCAGTTTAGAATGTGACTGGGTTGGGATTTGCTTCAAAACCATAGTAAATAGGTAAATGCTCTTAAAAGCCACATCGGAGGATTTGGAAAAAACCTGGTCCAGAACTGTGGGGTTGGAAAAAGTGTTATGTGTGGAGATGAGGACATATGGGCAGTAACTGTTTTCACACTGAGTCTCACCTTGCTGTGATACCTGGCTGACCTTTCGGAGCACACAGGCGATGGGTGTGGGTGGAGGATTAGGCTGGATTGTTGTTTGCCTTATAGCCGCAAATATTATATAATTCTAATGCTGTATATGATAAATGTTGGGCAGAAACTCTAAACACCATATTCACATCACAAATAAACTTCGCTTACAGTTATGTAGGCTATGTGTACTTTTTGTTTAGTCAGGTATAAACGTATTATATGTATATATGTTCATACATTATAACTAAAATTACACATCAGTACTTTAAGGTCACATATAAATTATGTTTCAAATAAGAGGTGTGCTAATATTCTTAAAACTCATAAACATCTGTTTTGGAAATGAGGAAAAAATACAATACATGTTAATATGGAAAATATGTCCATCCGACACAGAGAAGGCTGCTTTTTCAGAGACATTTTAGAAATTAAACTGGTGTATCTGACCTTTCCAACAGCACAGCAGTTTTAATGATGGGATCCATTAGAGTTTCTCCTCTTTACCTGATCAGATGCTCTGCTTGATTTTATCAGGACAGTGCTCTCTGGTGTTTGTAAAAGGCACTGCAGCTGGTACCAAGAAGAACCTTAGAAGAGCCTTATTCCCATGACATTCCCATGAGAAGCTTACAACCAAGTGGAACAAAAAATGCTGCAATAAAACTGCTGAATTAGCAGTATTACTATCTGTATTTCCCTTGTACATGAAGCTTCATAGAGGGCATCTCATGTTGTAATTAATCTCACAATAATAAGAGGTGGACATCTGCACTTATGGTAGTAGTGTTTATGTATGATTAGAATGTAAACTAGGTTTTGAAGAATATAAGTGAACAGTATATCGCTGTGAAACCGCAACACCTTAATACATTCTTTCAATTCTTTCACATCACCTACATTTGTAAGGCATTTCTTGCAGCCCACCACTTACAGCCATTAAGTGTGGGTATATACAGGTGCATCTAAAAAATTTTGAATATCGTGGAAATATCGTTATTTCAAAAAGTGAAACTTTCATATATTCTAGATTCATTACATGTAAAGTCAAACATTTCAATAGTTTTTGTTTTAATTTTGATGATTAGAGCTTACAGCTCATGAAAGTCAAAAATCCAGTATCTCAAAATATTAGAATATTTCCTAAGATCAATCAAAAAAAGGATTTGCAAAACAGAAAAGTTCAAGTTCTTTAAAGTATGTTCATTTATGCAGTCAATACTTGGTCGGGGCTCCTACAATTGAGCCTTCAGCTCGTCTGTTGGATCAACTGTTTCTCATCTTTCTCTTGAAAATATCCCATGGATTCCATATGGGGTTCAGGTCAGGCATGTTGGCTAGCGAATCAAGCAAAGTAATATAATGGTCAGCAAACCACCTGGTTGGCAGGTGCTAAAGTCCTGCTGGAAAAGGAAATCAGCATCTCCATAAAGCTTGTCAGCAGATAGAAGCATAAAGTGCTCCAAAATATCTTGGTAGACGGCTGCATTGACTTTGGACTTAATAAAACACAATGGACCAACACCAGCAGACGTCACAGCACCCCAAATCATCACTGACTTCGGAAACTTCACACTGGACTTCAAGCAGTACTTCTACAGAGCAACCATTGCTAATCTTTAAATGCATCTGGTGCATTACCCAATTTATACATGAATTAGAGAGTGTGTCACATTAAAGACTTCAAAGCACTTTTAGGCTCGGAGACTCCCTGATCCTTAACTAAAAGCTTTCAGGACTCTTGAGACAATCACTCAACACTTTACATCATATTACAGTCCTGCCAGATTTTGTAGTCTAAATGCAGAACTGAGTGTGCGTGCTGAGTGCTTCTACACATATGCAACTACTATGAGGCATATAAAAATAAACAATGTGTTTTGGTACAAAGAAAATGGCACATCCTTCCTGAAATGAAGCCTGAAGCCTTAAAGATAGCAAGCGTGAGGGAGAGGAGTGCAGTCTTTGGTAAAGATAGAATTCCTGCATGGCTGGAGGGTGGTTTTGAATGTCAGCCTGAAATAAGTAAAACATTGTATGACTGATCTCGGATCATCTATTGCCAACACTCAGATACATAAAAACCAGATGATGTCTGAAGGATACATTAGGGCCACAAAACAATTCTGTATCTGTATAAAATAATAGTATATGAACTTAAAATACCTTAAATTGAGGGGTTCATTGTTAAATTAAAGCTATTTTTTTGTAAAGAAGTAAACTGACAAATTAACAGGAAAAAATGTTTAAGATCCATAATAAAAAATAAAATAAATCATCATTATTATTATATAACCAGCAGTGGATGAACCCATTAGCCTGTCTCCTCTAAACCTGATGACCACCTTGGAACAAACAGAAAAACAAAGGGATTGCAGTAAAACCCCATCTGAAACATGGTACTTCTAATACTTAATATTAATCAATTGTTACATTTGGCTTTAAGCCAAGGAAATTCGTAATGGAAAAGCAAATTCAGAACGCAACTGGTACTGTAAAAATAGGCAATTTTGTGTTCGTTTTATTGAGGTGCATTCTGGGAGAAAATGATTGACATCGCGGCCATTTTGGCTCTGGCCGCCCTGCTCCCATTGTGTGTGAGATAGTAAATACTGACACTGCCAGACAAGCCGAGCACATATTTCACCGCGCGAAATAAAACACGTTCACCTGAGGTAAGTGCCCCAATGCATCACTGTCTCCTCTCTGAAATACTTTTCAACAGCTTTGTGAAACTTTCCTGCGGAATAATGTTTATTCTAAGCGTTAAAACGTTAAAATCCCATCGTCTGAAAATGAGAAAGCCGATGGCGAGACGCGAGAGAAATAGGCTCTCCTTTTCGTGTCGGAGGACACGCTGAAATCCGGCCCACTTTCGTATGTCTCCATTTACTTCGGTCAAACGGCGTAAATTCGCGTTAGATTTTCCTTCTAAGCGATTATTTAGTTACCCAAGGATGCCTGCTACCGTATTGTGTTATGGTTTTTGCGTTGTATGCATTAGATTTTTAATTTTATTTCAAAGTTTACGTCCTCCCCTGTGCCTCAATGCACGGACTCTCTCCAGTTGCCGTTCAAATTGCAGCCATAATCTTGCGGTTTAGGGCGGGGCTTAGACAAGCTGATCTGCCCCCACAACTGGCAGAACGGCCTGTGATTGGCTAGTTTATTCCGCTCTTCAAACTATACTGGCCACTGGTTTGTTGTTGTTTTACAGTCGTCTGTGATTGGTTGAAAGGCTGTCTTAGTCCACGCTGAGTGGTTACTTTTATTTATTGGGTTTAATGTGAAGTGCTGGAGGAAGTGGCCTGAAATAGCATATATGGGGCAGGGAGTTAAATTCCAAAACAAGTGTAAAACTAGAGACGCTATTTATAGTAGAGATTTACTCACTTTTATATCTTAGTCTGCCTGTGCACAAGACACTGTGCTTCATATTACACAGCTAGGAGAAAGCACTATTAAACATGTTAACTTACTCCTAGAGTGGATTTACATTCCTGCCTTGTATGTCATAATCTGACCATGATTTAACTGTGTTCTAAAATACTCAGTGTTTTCTTTTCTCTCAGGTGATATTGACTAACAATGGCCCGTACTAAGCAGACTGCTCGTAAGTCCACCGGAGGAAAAGCTCCTCGTAAGCAGCTGGCTACCAAAGCTGCCCGCAAGAGCGCTCCCTCGACTGGAGGAGTCAAGAAACCTCACCGCTACAGGTGATATTCAATAGACTTGCAATTGTACACAGCAAAGAAAAAGTGGCGAGGACCCCTGCATTAAGCATCTTTCTTGTCTGCAGGCCCGGTACTGTGGCTTTGCGTGAGATTCGTCGGTATCAGAAGTCCACTGAGCTGCTGATCCGTAAGCTGCCATTCCAGCGTCTGGTTCGAGAGATTGCCCAGGACTTCAAAACTGATCTGCGTTTCCAGAGCGCCGCCATTGGGGCACTGCAGGTGTATCAGGGTTATTATAGCTAACTAAAACTAAAACCATAAAATACATTTTCATTAGTGGAAATAAAATCAACACTAATTGAAGTTTGATTTTGATTTGATAAACTTTATTTATAATAAACAAATTTATATATAGTTAAACTAAAATTTTGTTAAAAACTATATAAACATATTCAAACAAAAGCTAAAAAAAAAAAATGACAAAAAACTTAAATTACCACTTTAAATTACCAAAAATAAAATGTAATTCTAAATATTATATATTTGGTCTTGTTTTTTGTATTTCTTAAATGTTGAACTTTTTTACACACATTCCTGTTTGAAGAGTTGAATTTTGATTTCGTAGGTTTTTGCCTAATTAACTGACCGATTTTTGTGTGTATTCTTGCAGGAGGCCAGTGAGGCATACCTGGTCGGTCTGTTTGAAGACACTAACCTGTGTGCCATCCATGCTAAGCGTGTCACCATCATGCCCAAAGACATCCAGCTGGCACGCCGCATCCGCGGAGAGCGCGCTTAAACTCACCCCTTCTTTCTATTGCCCTCTTTTATTTCTTTCTGTCTCTCCACTTGTTCTCCTCCTGCTTTTCTTGGTAGAGTTTAGAGTATCAGTGATGGGGAGTAACTGTGTCTCAGTCTACTAGTGCTGTCTAAATGACGCGTAGGGTACCTATATGTGCATGTAACAGGTGCTGCTGATCACACACACACACACATGCATCCACACAGACACACATACATACATACACATACTCACACATTCACATTTGGAGCGTAAACGAGGTCCACCCCTGCCCGCTTTAGGGCCATACATTCAACACGCATGTAAAGAGAAGAAGTCTCGCCCTGCGCTCACACTTACTCCGCTGTCCAGAGAGAAAAACAGGGTGGTGTCTGGGGTCAGTCTGCTTAAGGGGAGCGCAAACTTCCATAGCAGGGTGCTACTAAAACTGCCTCAGCCCACCTTATTGAAACCTGTCCTCGCCAGTCCCCCAACTCACATATGTTTTTAATCTTACCTCGTTTACCCTCCCCTTCCTGCCCCCCTCGATCCATCCAATTCTTACATGTCCTGCTTGAATCCTTACTTGGCCCTTCCTAGTGGAGGTGAGTGTGGGGTCGGACTTCTTCTCTGTGTGAGTGTCTGTGGGTGATGTGATCAGCAAAGCAGAATCGTATTCAACTGCAAACCAGCATCTATTAGTTAAAAAGTTGTTACTTGTAAGATTGCTATTATTGTCGATATGGTGTCTTTTTTTCCTTTTTTTTTACAATGCATACATTAATTGTTCACATATGTTTTTAATCTTACCTCGTTTACCCTCCCCTTCCTGCCCCCCTCGATCCATCCAATTCTTACATGTCCTGCTTGAATCCTTACTTGGCCCTTCCTAGTGGAGGTGAGTGTGGGGTCGGACTTCTTCTCTGTGTGAGTGTCTGTGGGTGATGTGATCAGCAAAGCAGAATCGTATTCAACTGCAAACCAGCATCTATTAGTTAAAAAGTTGTTACTTGTAAGATTGCTATTATTGTCGATATGGTGTCTTTTTTTTCTTTTTTTTTTTACAATGCATACATTAATTGTTCTTTAGAAAAAAATGATTAATCCGCAGAGAATCAGTTTGAATTCGTTTTATTTTTCCTTTTTCATATTGTAGTGAAAGCCGATCCTGCTCCTCCTGTTATAACTTCAGGTAGCCACAGGGGGGCGCTCTAAACCAGCCTCTCATTCAACCTCACTGTTCGACTAACATCCTGCTCTCCCTTCCTTTCTTTGTCTTTCTCTCTTTTTCTGTCTCTCATTTTCCACTCTTCCAATTCCAGTTTTGTCAAATTAAAGATCGGCATTAGAGTCACAGAGTGTAGCAAGAAATATTCTTTACGTTTAGTACTCTAGTACTGAGTCTTTCACTTTGTTTGGGTAGAACTTTGCACCTTCCCTCTATTCGTGATACACAATGTAATCTCATGTTTGTGCTTCTTTTATTTTTCGTATCCGTAAATTTAAATAAGCTGATCTTTGTATTTTCCAAATTTCTCATATTCTGGTGGTAATAAATAGATGTTACACAAATTGACTTTTCAGTGTCATTTATAAACACACCCAAATTCATCATGGCCTAGTCCTATGATCTAGTGTTTAGAGTATCTTTTAAATGTTGCTCAGTAAAAATGATTGAAGAAATGGTGAAAGTTGAATCCTGCTCATTTTAAAGAAACAAATTCCAGCATTTAAAGAAATACATGTTAATACTATGTTTTATTATTACCTGCTGAAATAATTGTTACACAAGATTCCTATACTTTTAATATATACAAACCAATATGTACATTCAACAACTGTTTCTTTTTTTTTTATTTTGCTGAAATAGCAGATGCGTTATTGATGAATAAGGAACTGAAACTGGTTATTCTACTGTGGGATTTCTTGCGAGTTCCTCTTAGTGAAGCAGTGTTTTCAAAGCATCAGAGTGTTTATACGCTTAAGTCAGCTTAGTTTTAGTTTTTTGTACATTAAACTAGGATAGAAGGCAGTATTTTAGCATTCGAACAGTTGAAAGTTTACTTTCAAGTAGTAGCCCGTAATAAAACGAATCTGTGGTCAGAAAAAAACGGTTAATGTAAGTCTGTCTGCATTTTATTCAAGTCTCATCATAGCATAGTAAAGGCACGGTGAGAGGTTACATATCCTCATCATGAGGATGCGGAAAGGTGACATAAAAACAAACGTTTTTAAGCTATTGAACTTGCACATACAGCTGTATCTTCACTCATATATTAAATGAACACATTTGACTTTCACAGCAACTAAAACACAGCAAAAATGTAAGTGATAGTGATCCATAAATAACAAGGTGTTTGCTGGTATAAATCATAGGCTAGACCACGATATAGACGTCCCTCCACTGTTTTCTGTGATATTGTCACCGCTAGAACGACCAGCAGAGGGAGCTGTTTCTTTCCAGCGATATACACAGCAGCATCGCATAACAGGTACACTCCTTCGAAAAGATGGGAGTCGAAAAACTTAATTTATATGTAAAACTTTACTGTTCGACATCTGAGCTTATGTGTTTGTCGTCTTTGTTTTTGCTTTCTTTTTGACTAGTCACTCATCGCCAGGTGTTTTTAGAAAGAACCACTTGTAATTTAACCTGTAACTACATTAACATACAGCTGTAATTCAAAACCTGTATTAAACGTATTTACAGTTGCATAGTTTGAGGTCTATGTGTGTGAGAGAGAATCTGTAATATGGTAGAGTAAGTAATGTATTTGTCTGGTTAAGTATCATATGTATCCACGTGCTGGTTTGTGGGTTATGTGTGTGCGCGTTTGTAAGTATGTTGTGTGTGATTTGTTAGATTTGAAGGCTTAGCAGCTTCTCCTTTTGTCTTCTTGCATGAACTACAGACAATCTGTCACAGAGAGAGAGATTAATATCTGGAGAAACGGGGAGGGGGAGAGGAAAAGAGAGTTGACCGAGGAAGACTACACAGACAGACAGATAGATAGATAGATAGATAGATAGATAGATGCAAACATACACATACAGTATATAGATACACAGATATAAAGTTAAAGGGGCAAGAAAGTGAGGTAAATAGAACGAATAGCTACTGTGCAATTTTTACTTATTGTTTTTTAAAATGTGTTATACACACACTGAGATGTTTGTATGAAGTAAAACAATGCCACATGATTAGTTTTTCAGATTCAAAAAAAATATGTTCACTTGTGACCTATACATAAACATTTGCACACACACCCTTTGTCCTGAATGTGGTTTTATTCAGGTCAGAGTGGGATTATGAAGCACTCAGGACGGGTGGAGGGGTGGATGGAGAGAGAACAAGTGAGAGACGGCATGAAAGATGGCACAGAGGAGAGAGAGAAAGGCCTGTGTGAGTATGTTTAGAGTTACTGAACTCCACATCTTTCACTGTCTTCATACAGGTATACTCATGAGAGATGTACATAAAGAAAAAAGGGGGAGTGAGCACAAAGAAAAAAAAAGGTTTAGTATAATTTATTTTTAAATAAACCACTTGGTTTGGTTTATTACCACATTGTTTTACTTTTACTAGCCAGCTTGAGTTTTAACCAGCATCTTAAGTAATTTTTGTGAATGTTGGAAGTTCACATATGTGTAGGTCATCACATTAACTAGGTATTTTGCACTAAATGTTTTAATTTTGCCTGCTGTGAAAATGTGAAAATATCATGAAACCTAACTAACAAGTGTCTTTGTGCTATACTAGTTTCAAAAGGCATTTAATTTTACATTTTGTTGTATTAGCTAATACCAAGACATTCATACATTTTTAGACATGTTATTGTCAAAAAAAATTGGTTAAATGACTGCAACTCTAATGCTGAGTGTGGGACCAATATACTGAGACAGATGAGGAAAGAATGGTGGAATAGTCATAGAATAGTCATAGCAGACAGAGAGGGAACTGGAATCAACAGGAGGAGATGCACAGAGAGGTGTGGAGGAGGGAAAGAGAGAGCGGGAGCTTCAGTAATCCTGTTTAATTGCTTTAGGGTAGTGTTCTGTCGACAGTAAGGAGATTGTGGTGCTCTCTGGGTCATTGGCTAAAATAACCCCACACACCCGGCTACATGGGTGGAGCCAGCCACACCACACCATCACAGCAACATGATTACCAGACAACACCATCGCAACAACCTTCTGGACCCCCAGATGCCTCCTCTGTGTGGGCCACCTGTGTATCCAACCCCAGGGTGTCACAGTGATTCAAGGTGAAGATGGTGGAAGAATGTGAATCTTGCACTTCATGTTTCTAGACCCAAAGTACTGAACTTTTCATCTGCTTTCAGTTTAGTTGGTTAAAAATCAAGCTCATTACAGCTTGAATTACCAGCTACCTTTCTGATACCAGAAAAGCCCCTATTAGATGCATGAATGCAGTGTGTTTTCATTTTTAGTACTTATATTTATTATTAATTTAGTCCTTATATATTTTTACTTCACATTTTGTAAAGTAACCACTAAATGTGTAACCATGTATGCTTGTTCAGTATGAGGGACAGACATACTGTAGCTTAATTTAATAAAATTTTTGTTTAGTTTTAAGGGATTTTCCCCCCTTTTGTCACGTAAATCTTTTGTTCTATGTTTTTATTAATGATAGTAGTACTTCATCTTGCATAATCAACGAGAAACAGAGTTAGACAACTCTTGTTAGACAAATCTTGTGAAACAAAGCCACATTTAATTGTGTAGTTAAACTAAGAGAAAGAAAATAAAACCTTTAATGTGGCTCCCATCTGAATGTATTTGTTCAAAGCAATATAACAACAATTGTAAACACCAACATTTTTTCAACACAAGGTCACCCAAATAGAAAATATAAATCAACAGCATGCATGCAATGCCATTAAATTAAGTTTAATTAGTAACAATTAACTCAAACTAACAGAAAACAACATTATTTGTTATAAGTTAACATAATTTAACAATACATAAATAACAGCGAGCTAAAAGCACAACACAAAAAACTTCTAATGCCTCCCAGTATAGACAAACCAAACCAAACTTATGAAAAAAGTAGAAAGAACTTTGTCCCATAAAGAGCTAATTATATATGCAGAGAAACTGAGATGTTTCGCTCCATATATCGTATGTGCTTGTCTTTGTGTGATATGTATGTGCCTGGGTTTTAGTGATATTTCCTTCAAAGTGTTGGGAAATATGTTCTAATGTATGTCTGTGTGTGAGTGTTTGCATGTGTGTGTGAGGTAAATGGTTAATAATGATGACTGATCAGTATACTTGAGGAGTCCCTTCACTCTCCGCCAATCACAGAGCAGGTCTGGATTACAGAGGAACAGTCTTCACCTGTTCCAAAATGGGCACCCCTTTTCACCTCTGAGATCACATGAATCCTGCTGATTCAGACCTGTTCATCATCTAAATGTCTCCGGCATTTCAAGCAACAGTTTTGTTTCATTTACTCTTCAACCGCCTTCTCCTCATTCTCCTTCCCTCCTGTTCTTTTTCTTCACTTGCCCATTTTCTCTTCTACAGCACCTGGAATTTATGGTCGAGGCAGTCAACGGTGCTGAAGTTGAGCTTCCAGGCCTGCTGGTCCTTGTAGTCCAGGCAGTCTATGGAACTGAAACCCAGCGAGGAGGTGCTGTATCCTTGGGAGGAGAGGGAGGGTGACTGGCTGAGCGAGCCACCCATGGAGGGCACAGTGAGGGGAGAGAGGGCGCCCCCGCTTGCGGATAGCTGACTGGTCATGGGAGAAAGGTACGGGCTGCAATCCAATCCACTGAAGTAAGGAGAGGAGCTGTAGCCCTGGCTATAGGTGGAGGGCTGACCATAGCTCATAGGATAGGGAGCGGGGCGCTGCACGCAGGGTGTGCCGGAGCCACACAACAGGTCAGGAAGGGGGGATAGAGAGGTGGGACTCCACACAGAAACTGGTGCTGTGCCTGTGCTGGCACTAGGGGGCATGGCTGGGGCGGGGGCAGCCATCACTGAGGAGCTGGCACCAGGGTCAGAGGTCAGCTCAGGGAGTGGAGAGGACTTCTTTTTAGGGGGACGGGGCTTGGGCTGACCGCTGCTCTGCTGTTGCTGTTGGCGGCATTTAGCACGACGGTTCTTGAACCAAACCTGAGGAAAATAAGAGTGGGGTTAAAGGTGGAAATAAAAGTTTGGCTCATTCTGCTAAGGATCAAACTGAACTTGTTTCTTTTATATACTGTACAAATCTCATGCTAGATATTCAGGCCTGCAACTTTAATGGGCCTCACAAACACAGACTGTCAGATTTGTAGTTATGTTCAACACTTGAGACTCAACGATTTAGAATCGATTCAACTTCAAATGCACACACTGTACAGATTTAGCTGCAGATGTATGGTTTACTTGCATTATAGCAAGTGAGTGTTAGATGCTGGGATAAATGTATTTTATTGGACTTGAAGTCAATTATCTGCTACATCGGGCATTAGCCCAGGTGTGTTTAGAAAGAAGTCAGGCAGTCTGAGAGGTGTCAGAGAGATGTTTGTCTCAGTTTGAGGTAGATAGTCTCACCTGAACTCTGGACTCGGGAAGGTTGATTTTCAGAGCCACCTCTTCTCTCATGAATATGTCTGGGTAGCGTGTTTTGGTGAACAGGGCTTCCAAAATGTCCAGCTGGTTCCGTGTAAAAGTAGTGCGCTCCCGACGCTGCTTCCTTGGAGTGGCTGTTTATAAAAACATAGCAGTAAGTAAAACAGCTTTAAGTTTTTCAGTAGAAAAAAAGCAATGCACATTTAATCACAGGAAAAGAAAAAACTTTTGTTTTTACATGTAGATGGTATCAGTTTTAATTGTTTAATATGAGCTTATAACAGTTATGGTTGATGTTGGTGAGAGAAAGAGGGAGGGACTTGGACTATCCATTGTCATCATACAACAGTGATAGATAGATAGATAGATAGATAGATAGATAGTTGTATTTTGACTTACGTCCATCACGACAAGCATATAAAAATAGTTTCTAGCATATCACATTTTTTAATTAGTGCTTTACTAATATTTACATTCTGAATCCACTCAGCTATATTTTTATTCTCCATTCAATACGATTTTGATCATTAAAAATTTTTGCAACAACAGGGAACCAAACGCGTGAATTTTAAAGCTGGATTTAAACCGTTCATAATTGGCTATAAAGTAACTGGATATATAACATTTTGACTACGAAAAAAAACACACACAAAAAAAGCTCTTTAACATTTTACAAATAACCCTTAAGACGAATTTCAAATAGCCTATACATTTGACGTCGACTTTTATAAAGTTCATTTTGCTAGAATGTGGGTGGTAGCCTACGTTTGTTACTACGTGAGCAATGTGGATATCAACTGGTTATATCACTTTACGTAGCTTAAATTGTTAGAAAAAAAAGGCAACTCATCTGAAATAAAACAATAAAGACGGTGCTACCTTTCAGTTTTGCTTTTCCCCTCTCTTTTTGAAGTTCATTGACCACCAAAATGAATCAAATGTCTGACACATATTATAAATAATTATTAAGAATGAACTGACCTGGGTAGCCGACGGCGGTGTGGAGCAGGTCCATTCCTGAGGCGGACAGCGTTAACCCGTTCACAGCATAATGGGGCTGCTTTATGTAGGACATCATTATTGGGACGGCCGCGTCTCTCGCACACTCTCTCCCTCCCTCTCTCTCCCTCTCTTTTTTCTCTGTGACGCTTTTTTTTACGGGTCGGGGGTCGCGCTCTGCTCCTGATGCCGCGTGTCTGTGCTCGCGTCTGGTGCGTGCGGTGCTCCTTCAGTCTCGCGGCTCTTCAAACACCTGTGGATTCTTTCCCGCTTCTCAGTGTCTTGAACAAGCTTACACTCTTGCCCAAGTTTAGATCATTAATATCGCTCTGAATATCAAAGATAAGCGTACTCTTTTGATGTGAGGTAATCGTAAAAGTAAATAGCCTATTATACACACAAGTTTTAGACTCTATGTCAGAGTTTAGGCGTTGGTTAAGGCGCGTGTCACTTGGGCAGGACCGGACAGGAGCGGGACACTATGAGCAATAAGACACCGAGCAGCTAATCAAGGGGCATCTCTCTCTCTCTCTCTCTCTCTCTAATCTCTGAAAACACATCAATGTAAAAACGCTGGTCAAGATGTTGACTTGTTGCCTCTTTTTAAATCATTGGTAGAATTTAGGGTTGCTATTGAATTTGCATATTACAAACAAACTGATAATGTACCTTTTTTCAAAATGAGGTGGGGTGTGAGAGATGCTTTAGTGACTGAGTGAGTTTGGAAATATGTTTTTTTTTTATTGGTAAAATTGTTCTGTTTTTATTTATTTATTATTTTGCTTTTGTGTATTAGCTCTGTAATGTTTTGAAAAATGGTGTAAATTAAAAGGGGTTTAAAAGTCTCTCTCTCTCTCTCTCTCCTTTGACGTGTATCTTAACACGTGGTATGACAATAGACATTTATTTATTTCACTTAAAATACAAGGTAAAGTGCAAAATCAATAGATTATGAGGGGTTGTCTGGTTGGATCTGGTCGTCTGGTTATGGCACATAACAATTCGATTTTCGAACGTTCTGTTTAAACTATTAAACAATTTCTTTCGTTTTTTAGTTTGAAACCAATAGAGTAGGACCTAATAAAAATTGTGAAGATCGAAATATGGAAAATATTGCCTTTAAAAAAATGTCCAAGGCTCCGGCCAAAGATGTCTCAAAATGCCGCAGATATTAAAAATATTTAAAATGTTTAGATATTTTAAAAATATAGGCTATTTAGGTATGATAATAGCAGCATAATACCACTAAAATATTTGACACCACATTTATGGTTTGTAAAACATCTCAAATTTGCTACTACTCTTTACACTTTCTTTTTTGACCTAGACACACACCCATACACACACTGCTGAATTATCATTATAGATGCTTTATGTGAATAGTCCCTTAACCCTGGATAAAGAGAGGAAACAGAGGTTTCTCATCAGTCCATAAGAGGAGAGACACATGTGTAAATACCACATGGGGAAAAAAAGACATCACAGGAGGCAAGGGGGAGGGGGGGGAGAAGAAGAGCTGGAGGTTAAGGAATGTGTGGATAAATGATGAATAAAATGAGATGAAGACAGAAGGATGAATGTTTCTTGACCAGTGATGGAGGCCTGATAAAAGAAGAAATGATAGCAGCCATATGGAAGGTTGTTGACCAGTTCTGATGCAGGAGAAGGATCCATAATTTCTGTAATGGAGCTATTTGAAAATTTCATAAGAATGTATTTTATAGAAAGAGAAAGTTGAATGTTTTATTTGAAAGTATTATGTGTTTGAGTGTAAACGTTAGTGACAGAGAGAAGGAGAGCAAGAAAGGCGTCAAATGGCACTCAAGATGAACTGAGTGATAGGTTGGATTAAAACAGACACAGTGCAGACAGGGTTATTTGGCTGTGACTGAGGTAGATGTCATCCATCCTAAATACAGCACAAACTCTACAGCCAAGGAACAAGGGCAACAAAGAATCTTCAGATTATTATGACTAGCTTTTTTCTAAATGACAGAAATACTAGATTTATATATTGTAGAAAATATACTTGTATTATCTTGCCCAAAGATCTGCATACTGAATACAAGAATGAGAGACTAAAATTGTCTACTGCATTTGGTGACAAAAAGCAGCAGAATATGATTTGATTTGGATTCTATCAGCTTACTTTACCACATAAATAAATAATTTATTTTTCTTTTTTTAAAGGGAATTTGAAAAAGAAATATAAGATGGAAAGACAGCTCGGTTGAGCGGTCAGATGTTAAGAGGAAATGCAAACCAATTCTTATTCGGGATCAGAATTATTTTGCAATACATATATAAAAAATAATGTTTTAAAAAAGCATTTATTGTTTATAAACTCAAATATAAGACAGCAGAATTGTGAAATACACAATTTATACAATGTCAAAGCTGTATAAGCAGGTTTTATAAGTCGTATTTCTTTATCATCCATTACAGATTCATTCAACATTAATGACAGGAGGATAGATAATATCATTCACAAACAACAACTGTTTATTTAGGCTAAGCGTTTGTCTTTTTATTTATGTGACAAACTAATAATCTGTATCGTTTTCTTGTCATTATGAAACCGTAGAACATGCGAGTATTTCAGCAGTTGTTATTGTTGTTTTGTGTAAAAGTAGTTTTAAAAAAAGAGAATTTGTTGTTGTTGTTCTGTGTCAGTATAGGATGTTTGCATGTTTATGTGTTCAGGATCTGCTTGTGCGCTTGCAGAAGGGGAAGTTTTGTGGAGGGTGGTGCAGTGGGGGGTGGGGGGACCAGTCCGTCCATCTGGCAACAACCAGCTACGCAGGCACAAGAGCAATTATGGAAGTGGACTAAACTCTAATCCGCAGGCACACACATACACACACACACACACACACACACACACACACACACACTCCAGAACACATTAGCACAGAAATACACAGACGACACAGTGACACTGCAACAGATATATAATCTGAGTGGAGAGTTGGATAGATGAAATAAACAAAATGTTCCTACGCAAACAGAGGTCAAGGAAAGAAAAATGTGAAGATGGATTGGGGTGAAGGAAGGTGACAGATAGAGAGAAAGAAAGAGAGAGAGAGAGGGAAGGAGGGAGGGAGAGAGAGGGGTAGTGGGCCGCATCATTGCAGGCACACTGCAGCAGTTAATCCAGATTAGTCAATCTAAAAAGGAGCGGCTTAATCTGCAGACCATCCAGTAATACACAGACCGCTGTCAGCACCAATCACTCACACAGTTCTAATCCCCAACGAAACGCACACGCCGGACACACGCACACAAACACACACGCTCTCTGAACAATGTGAGTTAAGCATGCATATATAAAATATTCTGCGCAATCAGACAACAGATTCATCAACGTTCAGTATGTGCTAAAAATGTGTACAAAACTTTTTCCAGCTACTTTAATCCCTGTCAGACCAGTGATTGTAATCTCTTAATAACACAGGCATTAAAAACAACTAGTGAGCAATTTCTAATGCAGTAGTAGATGTGTTTCTTTTGGAAGATGTTGTGATGAGGCAGTTACTTTCTGATAAGGACAATACATCCCATTGTGGTCAGACTTTGGGTCACAGATTAAAAGGGTTTTAATGTCAGTGGGGCTGTATGCTGAGGGCCCCAATAATTGATTGACAGCTTGTCTGGCCCTCTAGTGGAGATTCTGTTCATTTATCCCATTTATTCCAGTTTTGCTGATATAACAAACAAAACTTGACAAATTATTGATATATACATGAATGTGTATAGTATTGTATGAAAATGTGCAAAATTTAATGTTTTTTTTTTTGTTTAGTTTTTTTACTTTTGCTGTTTACTTGTATCAGATCGTAGGTGTACCATATGTCCCATAATTCAGTATGCTTTCCATTCATTTGGGTAACAAAACCAAAATAGTATCTGTTAATACTGAACTGAACTGAGATGGATGATGACATCACTGAATTCAATGATGAATAGCCTTTAACTGAAAATGAGTGTTTACTATTGTCCTTTTGCATTATTGAAACACTGTTCCTATTTAATACTATAAAGCTGTTTTGACACAATCTGAATTGTTAAAAGCACTATATAAATAAAGGTGACTTGACTTGACTTGACTTAATAGTAATTAATTGGTGTCTAATCTAATTAACCTAATTGTTGTCCCTTCGGGATATCATACATCAGACGATGCTGGATATTTAGTAATGCGAAATTGTATTTTTAGATGCCTTTGTGATCATATACTACCTATTTAATGTAATTTAATTTAGACTTCAGCATTTAGCCTGTCAAAATAAGTATCTTTTTTCAAACTGGAAATTATAATGTTATACCCAAATTTACTTGCGGCATTAAAAACGAGACACTTGATTGCTTGATTGACAAGAGATTTTCATTCAGTTGTAATTCATTGTGATTGCTGCCAATTTAAATATCGTGTTTTAGAGAATTTGTGGTATAGTTAATATTTTTCTTATCCATACAGAAACATTTCTACAACAGTATAGATGAAGTAAGGTTTAATAAAGAAAGTAAATGAGTTAATAATTATAACTGTAATTTCGCCCCCTGTAGCCACTTTTCTTCTTAATCGGAAACAGAAATAAATTATTAGCACAATAGCATTAGCCTCCCACTGGTTTCAACTTATTGCATCTCAACCACTGAAAGAATAAGACAGAAGAGCAATGAGCAAGAAACAAACTGGTATGGAATATTACTTTGACACGAAAATGAAAAAAAACTTCAATATTGATGTCATTGTCGGCGACAGCTGATGACGTCAACCTCATGTCGAAACCTCCGATTTGTTAAGCGGTGTGAAAAACGCCGATGATTGGGCAAATTTACTCTCAAACCCGCCCACATACGGATGTTGTTTTTTTTGCCATTAGCGTGACAGTCTAGTAAGGTCCAACTGAATCTGTTTTTATTTTTGGTTGTGATTATATGTAATATGTTACCGGATATAAAAGGCATGTGTCCATTTGTGGAAGACAGTTTTAGTCGTTTTCCCTCGCAGAGTAACATATACGGACTCTGCCAGGCAGGCGAGCAGGAGTTACTGGCAGCGACTCTGAAGGGGAAAGTAGTGTGCTTCAGATATCAGGACCTGCAGAAGAAAATCAGACCTGTGGCCAGAGAGATTCAGTTCACATATATACCAGGTGACCGCCAGTTCGTTTGCTTCGACGCTCTTTTGTTTTAGCTGTCCAATGCTATTTTTTTCTCTTTTCTGTTAATATAGTTGATGCAGAAATCGTCTCCATTGACGCCTTCAACAAATCAGCTCCTGAAAGAGGAATGGTCGTAGGAATAACCTTCATTAAGGTGTGTTTCATTATTAAGTGATATAAGTAACTAGTTATTACAAGCTAGATGGAAAAAAATAATCTAAAATCATCCTCGTTCCCTCCTTTCCCCCCACCCATGAGATCTGACATTTATTTTTCAGCTCTGAACCGCTTTCATTTCTGCCCATAAATGTTTAAATTCAGGGGAAATAATGTGTATTTC